CTAGTCTGATCGGATGACTGGCTTCTTGTTTCTTGCCATTATCAGTGGGGGCCATCACCCCATTGCAAATCAGGAAAACTTTCTCCCGAAAGCCCAGCCATTTTCCTCAAAGATGGACTCAATATCAGTAGATGGCCCTCACAGCTGCCCTATGATGGATGTGTGTGTGTGTGTGTGTGCAGAAAAAGGCGCAGCGTGAGCGGTGACAGTGCCAGCGTCTAACGGGGGGGAAACAGACCTCGCCAGGGCTCCGGCGCCCGCGCTCACAGCCCCAGCAACAATGCATTTTTGATGTACCCCCTTTTTGACTCAACTTCTCCCGGATGTCCCTGATGGAATAACAGCGCCCCCAGCAACCTTTCACATAGCTTCGTTTTATCCTGTGACGTTTGCAATGTGTAGGTGTTTTTGTACATATGTGCGTGTGTGTGTGTGTGAGAGAGGGAGAGAGAAAAAAGAATACAGAGAAGAAAGAAAGAAAGAAAGAAAGAATGAGACTCAGAAGAAAGGCAGAAAATGTTCCCCCTTTACTCTTAAATATTTAAGCAGCCTCGTGTGGAACAGTGATGCAGTCAGAGACAGGCTGCTTAGCTCTGTGTGCGTCTGGGTGATGCAGGCAGAGTGGTTATAGGTTGGGGCTAATTCCACTGTGAGCGGGTGAGAGGGAGCGCTTTCACTGTTTATTTATCTACCTGGGGGAGTAAAAGAAGATGAGAAAAAAAAGTGAAGGAGAAGAGAGCGAGAGGGGGGGAAGAGGAAGGAGAATAGGAGAGAGAGAGAGAGAGAAGTCGGCCAGGTTGTCACAAACCATTAGACAGATGGACCCAGTGTGCTCTCCCCCATGCCAATGAAAGCCCCGGCTAAAGACCAGCACCGGCACGTTTTGTGTGCGGAATTGGGCCCTCATGAGTGTTCAAACCCTAGAACTAGCTGGAGAAAAAGGTAAAAGCTTGGTGTGTGTGTATGTGTGTGTGTGTGAGAGAGAGAGAGACAGACAGAGTGAAACAAGAAGCAAATCTCAAGACACTGATGACATGAGGACGCAGATGCCCTCATTGTTTAAGACAAAAGAAGCTCCCTGTGCAACATCTGAAAGCATCCAGTGTATAGATTTCCCCCTGTGTGTGTGTGTGTGTGTGTGCGCGTGTGAGTGTTGGTTAATCATTGTAAAAACATCCATTTGACATTTTCAGTTAAAACGCTGCCAGTTGAAGAATAAAATAAATTAAAGCTGGTGTCAGGCAGCACATTTCAAATCTTCAAGATTCCAAGTCTCAGTTTTAACAGAGATAAGCTGAGCTTTGAGGGGCATGCAGGTAACCTAAATAAACAATGTTTCAGACTGTCTCCCTCTCTCTTTCACTCTCACACACACACACACACAGCTCGAGGCCAAACTCTTGCAAAAACTCACTTGGGATTGGAGCTGTTCCAGTAAACGGCGTGTCTGTCAAAGATGATCTTCTCCTCTGCCCAGACGGACACCCAGGACAGGAGGCTGAGCACCAGCACCTCCATCACACACCTCTGTCCGAGCTGGCACAGCATCCTAGACATCCAGGGGGGGAAGCCTCGCTGTCTAATTGGGAACAGCCTCTCCTCTCGCGGTCGCTGCTGCTAGTGCTGGAGCCCTCTCTAGATCATTAATGTCCGTCTGAGCGTTTTCGGACAAATTGGGTCGGCGGTTCATGGATCGTTAACTGGCTTGATGAGAGTTTCGATTGCCCCGCGGGCGTTTCAAGTCATACTGAATTGAGGGGAATTCACTTTAAAAAAACTTGTTCATTTGCAGACGGGGGAGAGCCGCGTTCACATGTTATTTACCAGCTCACCGTGGACCGGATGCGGCGAGTGCGTCTGTTCTGCGAGGTCCGAAACTTTTCTCCCATTACGCGCGGCCAGGACTCGCCACCTGGATCAGAACCCGTTTCCCCGTCCGAATATGTTCAATCACAATCCGAAAATGCATCCGAAGCTCGTGGCTTTAGTTGCTCATAGGGAGACACAAGCTGGGATCGGCAGTCATTTCTGTCTGCCCAGATATTTACGAAGCCTGGCGCGCGCTGGTTTCCGCTCCTCTCACGGTGAAAATCTCCTCGTCTGACCCCCTCTCTCATCACACTTGGAGTAAACGGACATCCGCGGGAACGAGCGCCCTTCTCTCCTCTAATTTGGGTCCAAAGTCAGCCCGGAATGGCAGCTGCGAGACGCGAGCATCCCTCTCAGACAGCCCAAATCTCCCCCAGCATCGCAACTTGGTGCTCCCCTCCGCTGCCTCTGGCTCCGGTCCAGCGCGCGCCCTCACTCCTCCGTGCGTCACGCGGACACCAGGTGCCGTCGGTGGTCGCAGCTTTAATTCCAACGCGCTCCGGCGCAACTTCCACCTATGGCGGGTAACATCCTTTCACTGGCACCCTGATTCGGTGCGAGTATAACCCCCCTCCTCCTCCTCCTCCTCCTTTCCTCGTCTTTTCCAACCCGAGCTCGCTTTTCTCTCGGCGCGGGCGGGGCCCTCTGGGGACGCGGGGCCCGGATAACTCCCGGCACCCTGGCCGTACGCAGCCGGGGATGCATACAGAAGTCATTTAAACCCTCATTAAAAGTTATCCGTCTCTGAATGGGAGCGTAATTAGGGACTTCTATTACAAATAAGTGCCATTGTTCCCGGGAGAGGGAGATGAAATGGTCACTTATCTTCGTCATTGTCACTACTTGAGCCATTTGTTTCTTTGAAGGCTGTTTATTTGCGCCTCTTCGGGGAATGCGGAGGGCCCAATGAAACATGGAACAATGAAGTTATTTTCCATCAGTGTCCATTAGGCCCACATGGCAGCGCCCAACCTAAAACCTGTGAGCCATGAACCTCCGGACGGCTCTGTGACAGAGCGCCGGCTCCCCTGAAGCAGACCACCTTAGTGTGGACCCCCGAGGTCAGAGGTCAGAGGCGCAACTGTGACCGGGCAGCTTTCACATAGTGGACTGTGCTAGTTCTGACCCGTGTCGCTGGGCTACCCCGTGCTGAACCAGGACTGATCAGTCCCCCCTCCCAGCATTGACTTGAAGAAATTGTTTGCAACAAGTACATTAGCATTTTGTTTTTAGAGGGAAATCATCAGGTCGACAAAACCAAAGGAGAAAAGCACAGTTCAAACATTACAAAGCAGTCAGCCTCCCTCTCCCAAAATCATGCTGAAATGAACATGAACGCATCTCCATGTTTTTTCTTTTTTTTACATTCCACTGTGCCTCTGTTGGATCCTTTAAACAAAATGGCCTACTTTTTCTCTGCCTGCAAAGTAATGCCTATAATTTGGGCTGTACAAATTTAGGCGGGGAGAGAACCCCATGCACCCCCATAACCCAAATACAGCTGCATGTTGTCCGCCTCTGTGGATGAATTATTCAACATCTGTCTGAGGCGTGCATATGTAAACAGGTGGATAGTCTACTGATGGCTTTTTCTTTTTTTTTTTTAAGGGGAGCCACTTTGGACTAAAGAAATCTCTCAACTCTGACTCGTACTCTGTTCTGTTTCATTGAAATGAGCCTTCTTATGTAAGTCGTGCAGACTTAACATTACTGGGCTGGTTCAGGTTGTCCTCAGAATGCAGAGAGCATTGTTATTTAACCGAGTACCAGCAGGTATGACTTATATTCAGGAGGTAAAAACAAACAAAAAATAAAAAAGTCAGGGTGTTGGTCTTTAGCTAATCACACACTTCTTAAAGGCTGGCTTTGTCCGAGACTGAACGGGTCACAAAGGATCAGCATAACTTGAACCCGTTTTGCACCCGGCGGGTTTGTGTTTGTGTGGCCCCGGTGCTCGTTAGCCCTGCCCTGATTAGAGGCTGCGGTACCAGTGTAAATAAATGCTGCCAGATGTGGAGGAGCGACGGCCCCCAGCTTAGTCCTGCGCACACAAGCTCCAGACGTCCACGGGGTCCAGGTTCAGCAAACAAAGGGCAGCGGGAGAAGGGTCTGGCTTGACATGGCCCAGCAGCTATAAAAATGACACATTTGCCTTAGATAGTTTATATATAATATATTTATATACACACACAGACACATACCTACCCTTTGTCTTTTGTATGGATTTGAAATCATCACAAATCTGGATCGTCTTACTGTTGAGCTTCTCTTCTTTGCAGCAGCCCTCCCTGCGTGTTCGTGCGTAAAGCAAAGGAACAGGAAGTGCCAGAAAGGACACTCAGGACCCACTGAAGCTTGCTCCGTTGAAGATCACACTCCGAACCCTGCTGGCATCAGAACGTCGCTAAGCTCCACAAATACAGATACCACTGGGCTCAAGTCTACTTTTCACTCATTTGTCCCCCTCTTAAAAGGCTGTTAGGACCTGAGGTTAATCCCCTCTGCTGCTCTGTAAGGAACTCCAAGTATAAAGCATGTCAGGAATCACTTGAGATGAGGCCACTATTGACTGTGTGAAAAGCAGGTAAAGTGGATGTTGGGTAAACTATCACTACCAGAGAGCAACATCTCCCCCTAGTGGTGGAGACGGTAAAATGACCCATTTATCAGTAGTATCTGACAATTGTCATATCTTCAGATGGATGCCAGATATGCCCTGCAGCCAATGCGTTTTGGAGAGATAATTCTTCTGATAAGACGCAGTGACTGGTTTCCACAGCAACACGGCTCCTCTCAGAGACAGACTGAAAAGGTCAAATCAGAGTGCAGGCGGATGGAGGATCATTCAGAATAACTGGAAAGAGCAAGTGTCCAGAGCTGCATACGAAATCATCTCTCCACCATACCGAGGCCATCCGTTTCATTGAGAGGAAACCACCAGATGAGCAGTCAGTCAAGTTTCAGATGGGATGAGCATGAAGTTTGAAGTCCAGTAAAGAGTTTCAGAGAAAAGAAAAAACAAAACCCACCAGTAGTAAACGGGATGGGAAATACAGGAAATGTTACAGGGTGTTAACTGGTACAGAGCAGTAGTGTAAAGCAAGAAGAGACAGAAACAAAATGAGGCCAGATGAAAGAAGGAACAAACTAAAGATTTATTGAAGGCAGCAGAAGATGCAAGAGACAAGACCAGAATGGCAAAGGGGGGAGTGGGGCACATACAGAGACACTTCTGTGTTCAGATAGGTTTAATGTCTTTGTGTTACAAAAGATTTTTTTTTTTCTGTTTTACAGCTCCGGGGAGCTCCATACGTTTGTAATGTTTATCAAAATATACATGTCTTGAACGTAGAGTGTATAGAATCCAAATCATTTTGTGGTACAAAAACATGAATATATACAACCATCTACCCCGCTTCATACATTAACCCCACCCTGCCCCCATATAAAAAGGAGAAAAATAAAAGCTTTTAAACAAAATTGAAAGGCATATAATCTTCTACACTGTCAACATCACACTGAGGACTGTGTTAAGTATTCGTTCTAAAGCAACTGCTATCAAAGGAGGCTTTTCGTAGAGTGAAACAGAAAGGGATACATATACAGTATAGGTAATTATGAAAAAGACTTGTCCCAAGGCATTTGAGGAACAGAAAACTGAAGCCTTGTGTTTTCAAAGAACAGCAGGATGATGGGGAGGGGAAAAAAAACCTGTTTGGAAGTTGCAACACTACAAAAGGGCAAGGGTATAAGATACTTTGGTCCTTAACAACAATAACCGTCTGCAGCTACATGAAGCTTTGTTAAATCGTGCATTAGATTAGAATCTTTTACAAAAATAGAAATGGAGCACATCTGTACGTTGGGTTTGTGGAAACTGGTGCTGGAGGCACACAGGAATGTGACTAGGTTTAAGACTTCAGCGTGATGGTGCCAAGTTTGACTTAACGAGGGAAAGTGCACTAACGTACCTGACTGCGGTGTAAGTGTACAGACAGGGAATGACTGAGGGCTATCCTACCCTGAAATTCTGGTTTCCTGAATTTAAAAGAAAAACAAGTTCAAGGTTTTTAAACACAGACCGAGACTGTCGACAACCATCAACCAGCAAAAATCCTTCAAGCTGCCCTCTCTCGATTGAGATAACCTGAAAATAACGAGATAAAGGCATCGTAGCAGACAGGTAAGATAAGACACCTGAAGGCAAAAGTAAACTAAGCCAACTGACCCCGCTTGTTTCAGCCTCTGGTTAAAAAAACAAAACAAAAAAAACTGAAGGAGTCAAGGCACTGCAAAAGCCATCAAAATCAGCCCCTACTAATACATCAGTTAGGTTTAGAAGATACACATGTATTTGCTAAAATTAAAAAGAAAAGATAAATGAATATATAGTTTTACACATATAGATCAACATAATGAGTAAATTAGGCTCCAAAAACCATTGTCCCGAGGATACTACATGGAACTGACGGGGCACAGTAAGACAAGAAGGCTGCTTTCAGCTCTACGCCTGCAAAAACACTTCTAACAGAGCTACATCACCTAGAAAAGATATTAAGCCTCTAACTGACTTACATTCATGTTCTCTAGATATATGGAATGGGGCTATAGGCTTACAGAGATAAACATTTGTGATTTTAAAGAAGAAAAAGATTAAATGAGCCACTTTCCCCCAATTTAACAATGCTGGTAACATACCAAAAGGCATGAAAAAAAGGCTTGTTGTGAGCCATTTCATTTCAAACAGCCGAACAGTCCAGCCGGGGAAACGTAAGGCACATCACTACAGAGAAAGTCTGAGTCGTGTCATTGCTGAATGAATTCCCGCAGTGGTATGGATCCCCATAAGAAAACAGGAGGGTAGTTACAAGGTCAAATAAGTGTGATGGTCAGTAAACCAAAACTTAGTCCCTGTCTTAAACTGTCAGACTGGCCGAACAAGATCAAAGTGGCTTTTCAAAAAGGCACAAACACACGCAGATATTTCCAGCGACTGTGATAGTGAAAGGAATGCTGAAGTGTGTCTGGTGCAGTTACAATTCATTCACATACATCTGTGGCGGAGGGTGTGTTTAAGCAATTTGGTCTGTGGGACAGTTCATCAGCTGCCTCTACTTTACCTCCTACATAACTCGTTTTATTGCAGAATGTTGCACACAACACCTGAAAAGTTGGTCAAAAACAAAATATTATTTAGGTTTGACTACAAACAGCCTGTCCTGAAATAGATTAGATCCAAACATGCTAAGATTTAGCCTGCTTGCTCCAAAGAAAATGTATTTCCATTTACTTTTAAAACTACAGGTGTAGTAGTTTACTGTGTGGGCTCGTTCATGGTCAGGCCCTGGCAGTTCATTCATTTGCCATACCGCTTATTCCTCATAGGGTGGACATGGCACAGTTCCGGTCTGTCTCACAAACTGCAGAGTATTAAACTGTTTTTTCTCCTAATGCCAATGAAATAATGTCCAAATATCAAACGCGTTACAGTTGCTTTGTGCCTGGCAAAATACAATTCTGTCAATATTTGACAATCTTTACAGCCAACATAAAACACTAAATGAAGGTGTTTCTGTTCCAAGTATATTGCTCTCCTGGAGTCCAAGCAGGCAATCAAAACAAATAGCCAAACCTAACTAAATCAGACTTTGTAGAAGGATTTAAAGTAGCAACATTCTGCAAAAAAACTAGAAATATGTTATGGAGGCCGTTCCCACTGAAGGCAGCCTCAAGGGCAGTAGCATTCAGGTGGCAACAGGCTTGGAGGGTGGAATGAAAGGCTTTCAGATGGTGGACTTAGAGAAGGACACTCGAAGATGATGGTTCTCCCCCAGGTCGTGGTTGTGGAACTCAATGAGGGATTCAATGGCCTCCTCAACCGAGCCCATCTGGATTAAGGCCATCTTGCGGTCCTTTCTGTTAAATAACAGGAGGGAAAAGTGGTCACTTTCTAAGTTTGCGTTGGATGACTAAATATTCCATTTCAGAGATGACTAGTACTCTAAGAGTAAACAAAGTTACGGCAGCTCCTTTTAAACGGACACACCCCAAGGAGAAAGTCTGACGAAAAAAACTGATGGAAGAATCCAACACCCCTAAATGTATCCTTCTATAAATCTGCACCCAAACTTACTGAAAGAACTTGAAGGCCTTGACGGTGGCTCCTGAGCTGGCAAACAGTCTCCTTAGATCATCCTCCACCACAGAGGGCCTGAAAGCAGATCGAATGGTTAAAGAGAATAAAAGGCGAATAATCCACTCTAATTTTTGCACTTTGCTTTAGTAAAACATTGATGCCTGAATAAAAAGAAAAAACCTCAGGAGGTGTAAAGGAGTTGGTTTCTTTAACTCTTATTTTCAGTAAGTTGTGGGTTTAGAAAATGTCATGTCAAGGGAAAAGGCTCAAATAAAGCTGCTGCTCTCTCAGTGGGACGGAAAATGAGCATCCCCAGCAGTACTCACGGTATGTTGGAAAGGTGGAGTGTTGCAGAGGGCGGGAAAATGTTTGAGTAATTTTTGGAGCCAGGCTTCTTGAAACGATGCAGGGGGGAGTTGCTGTAATCCTTTGTGAGGCCCTGGTCCTCGTGGCCTTCTCTGGGCAGCTGAACTGTGGTGTGTTTGGACAGTGTCACACGCATGGCCCTGCCATGGAGACGCTGGCCATTCAAGTGGCTCATTGCTGTGGAACACAAAACTCAACTGTCAGAAAATGAATTGATCCCCCACATTGTTCCCTACTTTGCACAGATAAACATCATTTTACCAACTAAAGTTTCTTTCAATAAGCTCCGTAGGATTGTTGTTCTATGGGAAGACCAACAAAACATTTGAAATAAAATAAACCATCAGAAATACACATGTAGAATTCAACAATGAGAAGGCCTAAAACAATAAACGGGGAATAAATGCATCACAACAGGACTAAAAGATAAGGAAAAGAGATCAAAGTGTAGATAACATTTTACAAATGAGGTGCAGCTCACCAAGCTGAGCTTGTGTTCCGTCAGACATTTGTACGAGAGCATTCTCCTTTTTATTGAACAGGATTTTCACTCTCATCACGTCGCCATACACACCTATGAAAAAAAGAGAGATGGGGCAGGTGTCACAATGCAGTGGCAGCAGCTATGAAAACACAACACAGCCATAACAGGACTCACACAGCCAACCACAGCAACAAAATGGAAAACAGATCTTTAAACTCATAAGCCTATATTAACTGTCTGCTCTCATTCGATGATCTATACAACAAATCTTTTACACAATTCTACACAGAATCTCAGACAAACTAAACCCTCTTAAGACAACTGCACCGATGACAACTAATGTTTTTCAGGGGTGAAGTAGTGATTGGAAGTTAAAAATCAGTAAGAGTTGTAGGATGAGCAATTGTGATTTATATTACTCAAAAGTCAGGAAAAAGTTGATTACTTGGAGGTCAAAATGGAGGCATGCAGGAATAAACTATACATGCACATACCTACATCAGAGTAATAAACAGCAAAATAGTAGTGACATAATCAGAGGGATATGCCAACATTTAATCACCTAAAAGCAGCAGCATTTCATTTTTCCCACAAATGACAATAAAAAAATTGGTCTGAATTTGTACGACTAGTTTCACCAACTTCAAGACAGTAATGCCAAATGACCAAATAACTTCCAAAAACACTATTTAAACAGATGCTTAAACTGAAATTTGGTTGAGAAAAAAATGCTGCAAATGTTTTTGTAAATATTGCTGGTTCAAAATCTAATGAAATGCTGCAGCTTAACAAGCACTCTCACCTTAGTTTTCTCACACAAACCCACAACAACCAGTCCAGATCATACAAATCCCACAACCCCACCCCCATAAAGCCCTATAAGTCTGATGATTGACCATCAGTGGTTAAAATAAACAAAAAAATAACATAACAAAAAAGCCAACAATATGAGACAAGACATGCCCACCTTGCCAGGTAACAGTAGTAATAAAAAAAGGAGATGAAAGGATGATAACGTACCGAAAAGAATAAAGAGGCAGTGTGGCGTAACGCTCTTTAGAGACAGCAGGGGGGAGCAGCGGGGCAGGGGGCCAAAGGGGAGAGGGGACAGGGGAAAAGAGACGGAGCGGAGTGGAGGACAGTGGAGTGGAGTCGGGACATGTCCGTAGGCCACAGGCAGCGAGGTCCACAGGAAGGCCACAGTACCATGGAGGAAGGAGAGGCATGAGGGACGAAGAGGATGAGGAGGGTTTTGGAAAGTGTGT